AGATCTGCAATGCTGATTATTATTTATTTATATTTTATATATATATCTCTATATAATATTTACATATATATTAACTTATAATTTGACAAAATCCCATTTTCAGTACTGATAAAAGGTAGTGCCAAACTCTATTCGAATTTACAGTAACATTGTGTGCATTTGGTTAATGGCGACAACATAAAAACACAGGCTGGTACAAGATGTTTTTCAATAATTTGGGCACTGTTTTTTATTTCAACACACTACACATCACTGCTTAATAATAAAATAACTTCAACAACTGGACACATCTCGCTTCCGCCAAAATTAGCCTTAGCTTGATAGCGCAGCTAACGTTAGCGTGCAGGAGTAAGGGTAGTGAAACACATACAACATGTTTTATACCCAAACAGAGTGAGTACTCTAAATACTAGAATACTGGAATCTAGCAAGCAACAAAAGCAAGTTAAACGCCAAATAGATAACCAATATGGACTTGTTCTAAGTACCCACCGCTGTCTGCTTTGAATCGCTCATGTTGAGTCTGGAGCGCCTCGTTAGCATTCTGCAGCTCCGTTACAAACTTCTCCAACTTGTTCTGGATGCCTTTCGGGAGCTTATTCAGCTCCGTCCGCTCCAGAGCCTGAAGCAGGACGACCGCCATCGCTGCCTACTCGTCCCGAAGAATAACTTTAAACTCTTGTAAAATAATCTTAATCTGTGCACCGTCTAAAACCAAACTAACAACTAAAAAATGTCAAATTAGACGCGTACACAGGCAGGAAGTTTGCTTCATACTTTCAAAATAAGGTAATGAAGTTATACGAGGTAAATGAAAACTACTTATTAAAGCTGAGATGCGATGAATCGATATACGCTCTTCGAATATAAAAGTTAAATTGTTAATTTAATGTATATGGGCAGCTACAATGTATTTATCTGGTCTTGCCTCCAAGCCTACTTGGCTCTTATTGCAGCAAATTTTATTTTGAAGTAAAACACAGCGCTAGTTTGCTTTGGTATACTGACCATTTCCATCCCGAGTCACCTATTACGACACAGACGTGCGACGGAAATCTGTCAATGCATTTTTTTTGTCTGCTGACGAACCATTAGACCTTTCAAAATTGCCTGCTTTTTTGGTTGAGGTTTTAGCAACTGTTTTACTTCTTTTGATTATTTTCCATGGTACGTGGAAGCTCATGACGTCCACGCTGTATTTTATAGTGAACCTGGACTGTTATTTTAATGAAATGTAGCTAAAATATGAGCTAGCTAAAGTTAGAGGAGCAAACAGCTGTAAATAATCAATGAGCGACTGCATATTTACTGCTTTTAATTCAACCGTATTTATAGATTAGAAACACTCACTTGTTGTAGTGCTCCACATCTCTTTTTCCGTGAACTGTTTATTTACAGAAGCTCTTGGATAAAGTGCAATGTTTATATCACCTCTTCATTTCCCTGTCAGAAATAATGGGTCGTGGATATATAGTCCAAGATGATGTGGAGGGATATCTGTCGAAACTCTGTGAACAAAAGGCAGACCCAGTCACAGGACTGCTAATTGGACAGGTACCTGTGTATACTAACATCTGTCGTGTATTAGGCCATGTGTAAAAACAGAGGCTTTAGAACTTTGCATTCATTATACCAAATTTTTTATATATGAAAAGAGTGTGTCTAGCGGTGGCATATGTAAAATTTGTTCAAGATATTGAATAAGGGCTACAACCAAAGTGCTTTTTAGAAGCAAGTAACAGTCACAAATACTTTGAATAGTATTCCAATACGTTTGTCAATTGTGTTAAACTTAAGAAGTGAAATGAGAAAAAAAAGAAAAGAAAGTGAATCTGTCTATTAGACCTTCTGTCCATATAATATCAGAAAATAGTTGAAAAATACTAAAATCCTTTCAGGATGGAGTCCAGAGTTACTCAGTTTTATGTGAGCTGTGAAATGGTGAAAATGATTCTATGTTCTCAAAGATTAGATGGAAATTAATTAAATGCACTACATATAGTACTGTGCACAAATATTCTGCCACCCC